GTGCTGTACAATCAATCAAAGTTTTATTTAAAACCTGGGTTCCAGTCGAGGCCTTGTCTTCTGGTTACGGCTGACGTGGACGTAAACGAGTCAAAGAGCACGCCTTGGGGTCCCCTGTTCGACGGTCTAAAGACAGATTCTCCAGCAGCACCCCCACCTCCCTGGCAGGTGACAGAACATCATCTCAAGGTAAAAGCTGGCTGTGTGTGACGTCGAGGTCTGACCAAAGCTGAGCACAGAACGCTTCGCCCTTCTGGTTAAACCCACATTATTTAAGATTAAGTGTAGAAAAGCTAACATCTTTCTTCCACCCCTTTTTCTTAACCTTGCCCTTGCCAACTCCTAAGATAAACAGCCTCAAATGTCTGGTGTTTAACATCTAAACTGACATTTGTGTTTCTATTAAAGTGTGGTTAACAATTAAGAAGTTAAAAGCTTGTCGGTCCCAAAACTTTTATAGGAAATTAATTATTCACAATCAGGTGTACTCTAGTTAAATTTTGTATGATTTGTAAAATACACGATCGCATATTATGGTTTAAATCATGATTCACTGACTGAGACTTACTTTTTGTGTCCATTCATTCTTGCACTAAAGAAAAGTTTATCCAAACATTAAAAGAGATCCTTGCTAATTAAATTACTCTTATAACCTTGTTATAAGAAGTGTAAGCTAAACCCTTACACATTTATTTTAAGATCTGGTTAGTTTTAGAAACAGAAGGTTTAGAATTAGTTGACGTCTAATTACGAATGCCAGAACAAAAAAAATCAAAGCACAGTCTGAGTCACAGTGAGGGGATTTTGTTTTTGTTACAAAGAGATACAAACAGGAAGTGCTCTGAAAAGGAAAAAAGAAGAAATCCAGCATATTATTTAAGTTTCTAAAGCATTTGAAGAATCCAGAAGCCAACTCTGGATGGTTTGTTTCCAACTTATGCAAATGCTGACTCAGCATTCAGTAATGGACCAACTACTGACTGCTTCAAAATTCACACCATTGTTTTTAGTTTGTATTTTCTTCTGTACACGCTTTACAATCAAATGCCTTCTGCGTTCTTTGTCATTTTAACCATCAAGTATCAAAAGGTGAAGTATGATGGGAAAAGTATAGGTCTTTTATACCTTTTTAAATATTAGATTTTATTTAAAATAGAATTCCTATTGAAATACATTGAAATCTTTTCTATTCCATCTATTTACATTGTTCTCTTTCTGTAGCCTAACACTGACTCTTAGCCTAAACCTAATCACACAATTAAAGGGGCAATATTATGTGTTTCTCAGGCATATATTTTAAATTCTATACCATTATAAAGTAACTATGTCACCTTAGGTTATTAAAATGTTGTTTTTATGTTTAAATAAAAATACACTTGACTTCTCATCATTTCCGTTTCTAAACACCTTGAAATTGTCCTCCGTCTCTTTAAGAACCTCCTGATCCCGTCACGCCCATTTCAACACATCATTATAGCTGCTTCTCTCTTGTTCACAAGCTGGAGCATTGTAGCATGTTTTGTTGTAATGATAATAAAAAAGCAGCAAAATTATACAATATTGGTTTTGGAATATTGCATCTCTGGACACATATGAACCTTACTGTCGGACAGGAATGAAACTTTTCTAAAGAACCAGAGCGATTACAGAGACAACGCTGGTAAGATTATCCACACACAGAAGCTCGGTGTGGGGGGATGCTCTGTGTTGACGAAGCTCTGTTCAGAGACACAGCCCTAAAGGTGGTTCTAGTCTCAACCAGTCGTTTTTACTCCCCTGCCTGCTGTCTCAGAACACTACAGGATTTCTCAAACGCATGAATGAGTCAAAGCAAGACTCTGGGCATGCTTTTGATGAGAGGATAACATTATAACATGATATAAAACTCAGAGTTGATTTTACATGATGTTGCCCCTTTAAACAATGGTGTTCCGCCATATTAGAACCAGTTTTTGGTCCCCAAAAGGATGTCTGAGGCTTACTGCACGAATCTAGGATAAGGGATTAAGCCAGGATTTAGGTGTAAACCTGAATTAATTAAGCTTTGAATCGGTTGCATGAGCTACGAAGCACTTACGTTTCTGTAGTAACAAGTAGGGGTGTAAGAAAATATCGATGCACTGAAATATCGCGATATTTCATTTCCCGATACTGTATTGATATTCTAAAGTCCTGTATCGATTTTTAATTAAGGTTTAAAACGTCAACTTTCCTGCCAGCCGTTCATTTTTATGTTGTAGTTAAGCCTCTGACCACTAGTTGGCAGCAGTGAGCCAGCCATTGGGCTCCTCTACCTCTTGAGCACCAGAGAGTAAGGCTAGCATTAGCATTGTAAGTAAACATTAGCTTCATGCTTCGATAGCTGAATCTGAGCAGAAAAGACCGACACCCTCTGCCTTCAAAGCTGAGGTAAGGTTACAAACAGTTACTTATTTGTCACAATGTCTGTATTTTAAACCAAATTAAGTGTCTCCTGCGCTCTTTTTTCCAACTTTAGTCAGCCTTCATGTTACAGAAGGCTAGCGCATGTCTATGTAATAGAATTTTATGAGACAACGAATTTTGGTTTTTCATTTTTTTTCCAGTAAGAGAGAATAGAACTTTTGGACCAAAAAAAATATCGCAATATATCATCTTGCTTACAGTATCGCAATATATCGGGATATATCGTATCGTGACCCCTCTGTCATGATATGTATCGTATCGCCAAATTCTTGCCAATACACAGCCCTAGTAACAAGTGCTCTGAAACTAACCTGATCAGGTTTAAAGTTAAGCTTATTTAATCTGTTAATGTTTCTGAGCAGTAGAGTCATTTTACTTCAGAAAAATGTTCCTCTAACCAAGTTTTACAGTCTTATATCAGCTAAAAAGTACTTTTTGATCTTGTTTTTAGAACCATATACTAAACAAGATCAGAATTGTTGGATTATTAATCTTGTTAATTTGAAAAAAAAATTACTTCTGGAAGTCTGATCAAGTGCAACTGTCAAACTGATGATTATTAATTATTATTCATTTGAAAAGAATAAGGGTCTAATCTGGTATTTTTAACTTATTTTTAGAAGCCTAATTTTTGCAGTGTCTGATCAGAAATCAGTTCTTCATACACTTTTATTAAATTTATCCGGCAAGTCTGAAATTTTTTTTCTTTACTTCAAGAAGACTTACCAAGTGTCAAACTGCAGATTATTAATTATTATTCATTTGAAAAGAATAAGGGTCTAATCTAGTATTTTAAACTTATTTTTAGAAGCCTAATTTATGTAT